AAGCCTGCTTCTCCCTCTCCCACTCCCCTTGCTTGTGTTCCCTCTCTTGCTGTGTCTCTCTGTCAAATAAATAAATAAAATATTAAAAAAAAAAAAGAAGAAGAAGAAGAAGAAACTTTCCCCAGAGGGAAGAAACCATGCTCAGTTGAGTGAATTGCTCAGGCATCTGATAGGAGGTCAGGGCTGGATGTCCAGAGATCACGTGGCCTCCCTCATAGACAGAGGGCAGAACCACGCAGAATGTGCCAGAATAGTGGCCTTCCTGCAGGAAGCGGAGACTCAGTGCGGGAGGGATCCCCACCTACAGCGAGGCTTGTCCTGGACTGAACTAAGATGCCCCACAGCAGGTGAGGGGCACGAGTTCTCGGCACCGTCAGAGGGCCCGCATCCAGGGATGACTTGTTTTGTTCAGAAGATGAGATTTTGGTGCACTGGGAGGGATGAGGGGTATGGGACAACCATCTCTCGTGGCCAGCCCCAAACTCCGCTCACCTACGAGAGCAGGCTCAGGGTGAAGGGGCCTGAGGCTCACCTGGGCAAATTCACCCTGAGGCCATGGGCACAATGTGAGGGCACGTCCCCCTACAAAGCACAGCGCCTGTGACTTCCAGAGTACAGTCATATCAAGTGGGGTCCCTCCTGGTTCTCCAGGCTGAAGGTATTGTCTCATTAGAGAGAAGATCTGAGGCTCTCCACAATGGCCGGTCACACTGAGCCCTGGACCCACCCCGTCTCCGGCCCTCCAGGTGGGACCAGGCAGGCGCCACAGCCCAGCAGCCAAGGGCGCCCGACTGCTCACACCTCTGTTTCCCCATCTCACAGGCGTTCGGCTCCATGCGGCGTGCAGAGCATTGCTGGCTGTGTGCAAGGGGACAGCGACATCCCCAGCCCCCTCCAGACCCAGCAGCCCAGGTCTGGAGCAGATGCCCTTCCGTGGGTAGCCACGAGGCCAGGGCACCCAGAGACGCAGGGGCATTGGCAGGGTGGCTGTGGGTGGGCAGGGGCACCCCACCCCTCTCAAAGCCAGAGGCCCTCACACATGGCTCCTCCAACAGCCCAGCAATTCCAAAGGGACACCCCCACCTTCACCGGGGTCAACACTGGGATTCTGGGTGCAGCCCCCACTGGGTCCAGGCCACAGAGTTCAGGTTCTGGATGTGCCTCTCCAGGGCCCCCGAAGCACCCAAGGTGCTGGCTAGAGGGGCTCCTCCGGGACCTCCAGGGCCAGGCCGGCCCCCACCCTCTGCCTCCCAGAAAGCCACCTTTCCGGGATTGAAGAAGCCCCGGTTGTTCGGGCCCTACAAACCCTGTTCTGAAGCCAGGGCAGATCACAGGCTCTTTGGGACACCACACAGGATTGTGCACAGAGCAAGACACTGCTGGTGACTGCAGGATGCCGGGGGCCACCAGCAAAACCCCTCCTCCGTGCCCTTCCCACCACCCCGGGCATCTGTCCTTCTGTCATCTCTGGGCTGGGAGCCCCTAGATGGTGGCGAGGACCTGACCTGTGTTCATGTGGAGTCTTTATGGAGGGAACTGCAAGTGGACAAGCCCCCTGGGGCCACCCCAGCTTGGAGGAGTCTGGGCAGAACTCTGAGTTCACAGTGGGCCTTCCTGCCTTCCTCCTTGCCGTACTCATCCAGAATCACCAGCCAGGGCCCTCTCCCCTGGGGGAGCAATCCCAGGAAGCCAGAGTGGGTTGGGGCCTGAGGGGGGATGCCCACTGACACTCACTCTCTGGGCAATCGGAAAATCACTCCACCCTCTGGTTTCACGGCCCCTGCCGAAAGCCCAGGGCTCCTCACAGCGGCCCCCAGAAAAGCACCAGGAACACCCGTCTCAGAGGCGAGGTGCCACGGGTGAGAAAGCCAGGCCTGCAGAACCCCCCATTAATGCTTCATTCTTAATGATGCCCCCCAGAGTCCAGGCCCAGACCCCCCAGAATCTGGAGACTCTCCGAAGCAGGCACCAGTGCCAAGACCTTCCAGCCCAGAGGGAAGAGCATGGGTCTCCCCAGGGGCTCATGAGTGCTGAGCATGGTCCCCAGGCCCCCCAGCCACACCTTCCTGGGGGCACAGAGCTAGAAGTCCTGGCAGGGGTCCTGCTGGCCCGGCAGCCCACCCCCATCCCTGGGTCCCTGCCTGCCCTTCACCCCTCACCTCCCTTCTCAGAACCTGGCCCGTCACCGGGCTGGGGCCGGGACCCTGGATTGGGGCAGGGGCTCTCTCTGCATGGCCCCAGCCCATCCCCACCCGCAGGATCTCCCTGCTGGCTCACGCTGGGACAGACGCATGTGGGCTCCCCTGGGGGTGGGCAATTTGCATTTGAGAATATTGTATTATAAGGCCCATGAAAATTCCTCTGAAATCAATTTTCTTGCTCCCATTTCTGTGCCTGGAGCCCTCAACAGACACGGATTTCCTTTAAAAATAAATAAAATAAAACCATCCGGTCCTCCTTCCACCTCCTTTCAGGGAGATGTTTTAATGTGAGTTGCTGATTCTGTTGGAAGCGAAGGCAAAACCTGGCCGGTTGTCTCTTTAAATCGGCTCTGCGGTGTGCCGGCCGGTCGGCCGGCTGGCTGGCTGGGAAGAACCATTCCCGCCCTGCCGCAGGGAGCCGGGCCCCAGTGCCCGCCCGCCACCGCCATCAGCGCCTCCCCCATCCCCATGGTTACGGTTCCTGCTTCCCGGCCCGGTCCTCGTCCCCCGGCTGTCGCCCGCCCTCCAAGCAGGCGCAGAGGCGGCTCGCAGTCCCCACGCCGACTTCGGGAAGCCGCCTCCTGAGGATCGCATCGAATGTCTGCCAGTCCTGGCTCTGACTCATCCCCTCCGGTGCGGAGCCCAAGTCGCCGCGGCCAGGCTGCGGTCCTGCAATCTGTTGATAACTCCACTTGCTGGCTCCAGCCCGCTGCCGCTCGGCATGGAAACCCGTCCCCGGGGCCGGAGAATGCACCACAGCTGGTCGGCACCGCGGAGCACGGCGCTGCCGCTCCCGCAGCTTTTGCCAAAATAGGTGAGAAGTTGAGCTGCGTCTCTCCGGGGCCGCGCGGCGGGTGGGCCCCGGCGGGGAGCCGCAGGACGTGGCGGGCGAGGTGGGAGCCCGCAGCCGCAGCATCCATCCGTGCCCCCAGCCCCTCGGCCCGCGTGCCAGCCCGGCTGGGGCGGTTCCTGCTGCCCTGGGTGCCGTTCCGGATGCAGATGCCGAATAACTTTGGGCTCCACGGGGGGCATGCAGCCACAGCCCGAGGTGGGCATCTGGGGGGCCACAGCGGCTCCCGCGTCTGCCGGCCCCGCTCGGGCTGCTCGTTAGGAGGGGGATCCAAGGTCTGCTCAGTGCTCCTGACGGAACCTGACAGACATGTTGCAGGGCTCTGAGCAGCCAGAACGCTGGGCTGAGCTGCTCGCGCCGGGCGGCCAGTGGGGAGAAGGCAGTGCTCCCAGGAGGGCAGCGTCGGGCTCCGCACGTCCCGCTCGGGGTCCCCAGGCCAGCACACAGCCTCTGTGCGCCCCGGGCGACCAAGCTCCAAGCCAGACGCTCCAACAGGCTGGCCGGGTGGGATGGCCGCATAGGGCCAGCCCCGGGCTGAGGCCAGGGGACCCTCCACCCTGCCCTGACCCTGCCCTGTCTTCACAGATGGGGACAGACTCTTGACCCTCACCTGCCCCACCGTCGCCCTGAGGCGCCTGGCCCGGGGCTCGACCCCACAGCTGCTGTGTGGGACCTTGACCTTCGGGACAGCCATGGAGGCTGGCGGGGAAGAGGGTGCCACATAATCCGCTCGGCGGCGACCCCACTCCGTCTGGCACTCACACTGCAGGAGCTTGGCAGGGCTCATGGTGAGTACGTGCCCCCACCGGGCAGCAGGGCCCAGCCACGCTGAGGGCGGCCACCCCTGTTCTTGGGGTGACCGCGTGGTCAGTTAGCAGCATTGGGCCCCTGGTCTCCAGGGCTGCCAGCTGGCCGCTCGGCTGAGGATCATACTAATTAGCAGGCGTGCCGCAATGTGGAGCCATGAAATCAGGGGAGGAGACGCTGTCCTACGTCCCTCCCCAGGGCTCAGGTCCAGGACCCGTGAGACCTCCTCTGGCCCCTGGCGGGAGTCCCCGCCCCTCTGGTCCGAGGCAGTCATGTGGCCTTCCCACTGCAGCCCCACCAGCCCCTTCCCCTCAGAAAGTTGGCTGAACGGCAGGGAGACGTGGGGGGCTTCGGCGGCACGTACAGCAGACACGGGGAGGACGGTTCTCTCACCAGAAAAGGGGGCAGGGCGGCTGTCAGCGGCAAGCCGTCCCTAACGGGGACTTGGTGTGAAGGCTCGTGCAGCTTTGCGTGGTTGCTGCTGGCTTGGATTCCGGGAAGGCTGGTGGCCGAGTAAATAATGCATTGTGTGTGCTTGCAAGGCAGCGGAGGGCCGGAGCGCGTGCAGGGACTGCCAATGGCCCCAGGACACGTGGCCGGCAGCAGCCCTGGCTCGGACACCAGCAATGAGTCAAATGCACACCCGATTGTCTGCTCCCTAAGGGGGGGTCTGTCTGAGCCACTTGTTGGTTTCCTTCCTGTTCTGTTCGAGACGCCCAAACAAGGTCGGTATTTGTTGCCAAGACTCAGCATCGTCCACACCGCTGCTCCAAGCCTCACTGGCCAGGAGGGTGCCAGATACCCTAGAGGTTGTGCATCCAGGCTGCTCCTCGGGAGGCTGCCAGCCTGGACAGGCCCCTGGCTTCTTAAGGGACCACCTGTGGCCCCGAGGTGTCTTGCCCGACGTGCCTGGGGCCTCTAGGTCAGCCTGTTTCTCGGGTTTTCATCCTCAGGTTAGAGCCTTGTTTGCAAAGGGAACCTGTTGTCAGCAGACAGAGGGTGAACCAGGAGATGCTGCGGAAGGCTGGGGGCAGGGGCGGGACCCCTGTGCCTAAGCCGGCAGCCCAGGTGCCTCTTCCTATCTGACCCTGGCCCTTCCAAGCAGATCTGCCCTGCATCCCATCCCCGACCACTGCGTCCACATGCAGCGCTGCCCCCATTCCCAGCCACTGGACACTGGCCCAGTCCAGGACCGTGAAGACTGGTGGGTTACGCTGCCCAGAGGGTTTAGAATCTCAGCAGTTTGTTGGTTTTTTATTCTTGACAAATAACATGTTCACTGGAGAGTCTCCAAAAGAAACGTAGACCCAGCCCCCTCTGGAGCAGCTCTGGGGCAAGCACTTCTCCGCGTGCATCCCTGAGTCTGTCATGTAGATGCCCGGGTGGCTATGCCCCAGGGGCCCAGGCAATGCAAGGGCAAAGACCAGAGGCAGTGGCCAGCAGGGTGGCCCGGACCTGCCCACCCCACCCTGCCACACTCACACCACCTGCGAGGCACCTGCCGTGGGCTGGCGGTCGGCTTCCCTGACACCTGAGGTCGGCAGCCAGCCTTCTGGCTCCTGAGTGTGATGACACACGGTCTCCTGGAGGCAGGTCTGGAGCCATGCTGACCCTCGGGTTGCACTGAGGCCCCTGTCCTCCCTTCTGGACGTGCACCCCACCTGCCCTCGGCGCTCTGACCGTGAATGCACACAGAGCCAGATACTCCCCTGCAGGGCCTGCAGAACCCAGGCCACCATCACCGCTGTTAGCAAACAAAAGTGGACGTGTATGTGCGGTGACCCTGTTAGTGTTCGAATTCAAGCAGCGACCAAAACGTGTGTTCCTTTGCACTCCATGATCTTCTGGGATCTTCACACTTACCTCCCCAAGGGAACGCAGTGACAGGCATTGGAAGAGACTAAGAAGTTGTCCAAAGTTGTGCACATTCTCCGTTTCCTTTCAGAGCATAGGTCTAGTGGTTCGCCTGAGGAGCAGTGTGGTCACTGTGAGGGAGGCCACGTTCATTCTGCACAAGCGCTGTCTTCCCAGCCACAGCTCCCGTGGCTGACGAGGCGTGGCGGGACTCCTTTGATCATTGGGACATCAAGCGGATCTGAGAGGAAAAGACTGCCTGCTTGCTAATGTTGAACCCGAGAGGGAGAGACCCCACTTTGGGGGCTTCTCTTTGATGTGGCCCAGAGCCAGCATGTGCCAGCAGCAGCCGAGAACCCCGCAGAGCCCCCACTCGCTCTGAACTCGGGGCTGACCTCAGTGTCAGTGAAGACTATCCTTTGCCACATCCAGCAGGGGTTGGAAGCTGGGACAGGGTAAAAGGCAAGGCCTACTCTGTTGTGCTTGGAGTGCAGGATCCCAAAGACACAGCATGCTCAGAACACCCCTTTTCTGCACATAAGCATCCCACATTAAAAAGGCAACAGTGGAATTAAAACCCCTGAAAAGAACAGGGGTAGATGCAGGGTGGCGATGTGGAAGCCTGGTGGTGCCTGCTGCCCTGCTGAGCAGGCAGGGGTCAGGGAGGCCGCACCTGAGCCGGTGAGGACCCGGCCTGACCTGTGTGCATGCCACAGCTCATCTAGGCTGCACCCTGACAACCCCAGCGGGCCACACAAGGTGTCTGTGGCACCTACAAGCACCTACATGCACCTGCACGCCCCTACAAGCACCTGCAAGCACCTGCACGCACCCACAAGCACCTGCAAGCACCCACAAGCACCTGCATGCACCTACAAGCACCCACAAGCACCTGCAAGCACCTACAAGCACCTGCAAGCACCCACAAGCACCTGTATGCACCTGCACGCACCCGCAAGCACCTACAAGCACCTGCAAG